ATCCGCAATTAGTTATACGAATTCAAAAATCGAGCTTTGATAAGTTGTACTTTTGCATAATTTACTTGTAATCTTGAATTTTAAGTAATATGCATAAACAATGGTTTTTAAGAGTTTTTATCAAATGATTTATAATATAGTATAGATAAATAAATAAAGTTTTTTAAGTTGGATTTGACTCGAGACCAAATTTGGTACTGGTTATGAAAGATCAGGGTTGGTTGCAGAGTAAGATTGGTTCTAGTTTTTTTTGCCTCTGGTTCAATACTAGAAAACCAAATTACACTTCAATCACTTATTATCGAGACCGGTTTGAGATCGAAAGCGGTACCTAATTTTGACCGTCTCTATAACTCTATAATTAGATATAGGAAAAAAAAAAACAAATCCTGGGTTGGACTGCTCCCAAATCAGTCCCTATAAAATCAGATCGGCCTATATCTACCATAAATTCTAGGACCAATCTAGACTCATCTACCAGCCTCGGTTCCATCAGGTTAGTCCCGCGTCCAACCTAGTTTTCAGAAGAAAAAAAAAAACTGTAAAATCATTTATACACAAAAATAGTATTCATGTTTTTAAAATTACGATTTTCAAAATTTAATTGAAATACAAATTAAACAATACATTTAAGTATATAAAATCTCGAAAAAACTCAAAAAACCTTGAATTATAATTTATAAACCCTCTTAAAAAAAATCAAACCTATTCATCACCGTTATCGGTCCCGAACCAAGTTATCAAATACCGTTTAAAATACACAAACAATTAAGGATCGTCAATTCAAAACCGATCCCAGTTGTTTTCATGCCGATTAAGATCTAATCCGACCATCTCTATCTATAAGATCATAACCATATATATGTTAGGTCCGAATCTCTATCTATAAGATTTATAATCACATATGGTGACTCCGAGCTACACGTAAAACAGATGGTCGTCCTGAAATTAGTCGACTCGCATAGCAGATTGTATTTCCAGTTTAGTAATAAAAGAAAGATTATAAGTTATAACCATATATACGAATGGGCCGTATAACAACTGATTTGGGCCTTAACAAACCCTAATATCTAATTTTTAGGGTTTACCGGCTCTCCCTGTATATATATATATACATAGATGCAGGTTTATTGCTCACTGGATAGATCTGATGCTCCAAATTTCTTCTTTTTTTCTCTAATTTTGTGCGTTAATTTTTGGGGAGAAAACTGCAGATGATGAAAAAACTTGAATTTGGGCTGATTTCAACCATGAGGCTCCAAATCGAGCTTTTTAAAACTGATGCTTTTTATTCGATCCCCATCGTTCTCTTCTGGTTTTCTGATTAATTTTCTTCTTATGATTTCATATTTTGGTTGCTCGATCTTGTTTATTTGTGTTTCTTCGATGTTTAATTTGATTGTTGATTGAAAAAATAGGTTTCTGTAAATGCATCGAAATTAATTATTTAGGGTTTTATGTGAGTTCAAAGGAAGAAGCATAAGAAAAGATCTGAACCTTTCGTTCGTTGTTAATCTCAAACCCAATCGCATCCGATGTGAATTTTGATATGATTACATCTCATCTCGGTGCGATTGTGAATTTTGATATGATTACATCTCATCTCGGTTTATCTTGTTATTTTGATGTGAATCTGGTCTGATACTGTAGTTCTGGGTCGGGTCCGGTCGGGTTAAGAAATTGATTGGATTAGGTAAACCCATGGTGGCGATAATTTATTTTTAGGAAAGAAATATTAAAGTAAGTTAGTAGTCTAATCATGCAAAGTGTGTGGCTCGGAAGATACTTGCATGCACGATGCAGTGGGATATATATTTTAAATTTTTTATATTTAAAAATAGAATGATTATCATGTATATAATTATGTTTATTTAAAGTTAGCTACATGAATTTAAATATATACATAATTTACTTATAATCTTGAATTTTAAGTAATATGTATCAATAAACGGTATTTGATGAATCAGAAATTGTTTTTAAGTTTTTATGTCAAATGTTTTGTAACATAATATAGATAATGTTATTAAGAATTTTGATATTATTACTCCAATTATTCCTTTGATTGGATCTGTGATTAAATCTAAATTTTGTAACAGCATCAGGGCATTCTATTGATAAGGTGATTTGAGTCAATTTATCAAATTCTTTATGTATTAAATAATGAACGATTTAGAATTGATGTTAAATTTAATATGAAAATTGAGCCAAAATAAGTTATCCATGTGAGTTGTCATAAAGACATTCTCTCTCTTTATCAAACTCTTTCCAATAAGTCATCGTTTCATCAAAGAGCCTTTGGTCTAACGGTATCGTAGCCCTTGGTTTTCTAGGAGATCAATGGTTCAAACCTCACCATAGGTGAGGAAAGTGTATGAGTTTATTTGTTGCATTTGCCGTATATAAATATTACATACTTCAAAAAAAAAAAAAGCAATCGTTTCATTGGATGTGGGAGATAACCATTCGAACTAAAATTCAAAATTTGCAAAATTACTTACATCCAATAAGATTGTCTCACTGTTATTGGTTGTTTTTTTAATAATGGGTAAGATACATGAAATAGCAATCTATTTTTACAAAAAAAATTATTATAGCATTTTACTTTCAGTTTTTTTTATTACAACATGTTTTTCAAAATAATTTTTTATTTTGGTATTGTACTTTCAAATTTTACCCATTATAGCATCGAGTAAACATTTTAAATTAAATTTATTTACATGTATGATAGTGTTGACATCATATTTTTTATTATAGCATTATACTTTTAAAATTTTTTTATACCAAAATTCAAAATTTGTAAAATTCTCAAAATCCAATAAAATCGTCTCATTGTTATTGGTAGTTTTTTAGTAATTAATTCAAGATTTTGAAATACTCAAATCAAATATTACAATGTTACCTTTTATATCTATATTATTTTATTAAACAAATTTAACAAAAGTCTTAAARTYTTAAAATATTAAATAACCAAAATATCTTTTATACTACCCCAAAATATATAGTATATATATATATATATATATATAAATAACTATACTTTTATAGTTATTTATTTATATATATACTATATATTTTGAGGTTAGACTGTTCAAATTGTACTGTATAATATGTTTTGAATTAATATGTTCTTGGGTTTTTTTTTAAATATATACATATATATATATACACATATACATGTATTAATTCAACCTTAATATGAGTTTCTGGACAAGAAAAATGTTAAGCAGTTGAAATTTCATTCTAAAACTCATTTTTTTTTTGTCTTTTCATGGTTTATGATCTGTCAAATTTGTAGTTTTCTTTATTGGTTTTGAATGTTTATCTTAAAACTCAAGTTTCTTGGTTCTTAGCTCTTGGTGTAAATCGAACACATTTGTGGAGTCGTTTAAATATGTTGGATTTTAAATATATTGGAATTTAAACTGTGATACAATTTTTTTTCATCAATAGTCTGTAATTGAAACCATAACTCTTATTTATTCAAATTGTATTAATATGTAAAGACCAAATGTAACCTATATCATCGTTAAATCTTATCTTATAAAACCAGTGGAACTTCAAAATCATTAAAATTCATGGCTCCCGCCGCATTGCGTGGGTACACAACTAGTGGTACAATATTGTAAAATCTTAATCTATACTTATATATCTATACTATATTATAAAGCATTTGACAAAAATTCTTAAAAATTAATTTTTATGCGTAAAATATTATTTATTAATGCAATTACTTAAAACTTAAGATTACAAGTAGATTATGCGTAAGTACAACTTATTAAAGCTTCATATCTGAATTCGTGTAACTAACTGTARATAAAYATAATCAAATACGGGATAAATATCTCATTTTAAATATAAAAAATCTAAAATATAATTAAGATAATTATTGAGTTCTAACAGAATAATTAATTATAATCTTTGTAAAAT